GGCTGTACGGTTGCCTAAAATTGCTTACATCCAAGTCATTTGAATTTTGGTGCATAGTTGTCTCATTGGCAATCATACCACATCTTCTTATTTTTATAATAATTGTACTTGTCTAATCTATAATAAGCTGTTAACACAGAGACATGTTTTGCCTATTTGTTATTTTGATAATGCAAATGTTACAATTATAATAGAAATACATTAACATGTAAGCGATATTCAACGACAATGAACCATGACTGATGGTACAGTGTTTATCAATCTCCATGGAAATGAGATGTGCCAATGCTTATACAACTGCTAACCAAATACCATTGACTTTTCATAAGATGTTCCCTTTAAACAAACCATAACACAAATTCAATTTCTAAGTCAATGAACCATAATGAGGGGTTGGGGTTATACAATATCCATGGAAATGAAACTTTTAAATACCAATACATTCTCATACCAAATAGCTTTGACTTAAGATTACTGGTAATCTTAAACTGGCATAATCATAATAATCACAAACTAGATCATGTAAACCAAGTAAAAGTTTCAAAGTCAATAGATCATGCATATGACTGAGGGGTAAGGACCAAATATCCTCTATGGAAATGGGACGTACTAATGCTTCTACATCTGCAGGCCAATTATCATTAACCTTCCACTAATGGTTTCCCTAATACTAACCTAATCAAAAGCTAATAAATGAAATTTCAAAATAATGTATGTTTCCAAGTAAAGGAGCATGATTGAGGGGGCGGGGCAAAATAATCTCAATGGAAATTAGAAATGACAAAGTTTATACAACTGCACACCAAATATCATTGACCTACCACTAGTGGTTCCCCCTAAACTGACCTAATCACAAACTTATACATGTAAGTAAAACTATGCAAAGTTTCAAAGTCAATAGACCATGACTAAGGGGGTGTGGCCAAATATTCTCCATGGTACCGTAATGAGATGTGCCTATGCTAACACAACTGCTTACCAAATATCATTGACCTACCATAAACTATACCTTATCACAAACTAATACATTGTTGATGCCGTCAAAACAGAATGCCTATGGGTTTATATGATCCGTTCATCCTTTTTGACTCTTTCAAAATTCAAGAGTCTATCCTAAATTGAGGTAAATTATATGGCCTTCCAAATACCTTTTCGATTCCTAACATCACTGAAGAGACATTAATTGTCAAAATCCGGATATGGTGTACAAATGTTTGCACCTCATGTTTGCGGTATACCATCTTTTCCGCAAGTTTATTGTTTTCTGTTTGGTAATAAATTAATAATAAGATCTATTTTTTTACATCTTGTGATCTGTTTATTTTGCAATCGCCAATGGCAGTCAGCAGAGTTTAAGAATATCAGTTGTTCGACCTGCTAGTCAAATGCGTTTTGTTAAAATATACTTTTTCACTCATTTGGTCTTTTGGAAAATGTTGTTTGTGCTGTATTTAGACTCCTCTACCAAGAAATTTATTTTGCATGCACACGTATTAAAATTGCGGTTTTTATCTAATGCAATCAAAGGTTTGAACGTTGTTTTCAATTTAGACTTGTAAATATATATATATATATATATATTCAATATATATATATATATATATATATATATATATATATGTCTCTCTGTTTGACTCTGTCAAGGCAAGACAAAAATTGCAACAAATTTAATACAAATATTTTGTCCATCTTTTTTTAATATTTTCATATTCTTCATTCAATTCAAATTAAACTTATGTGTGAACAAGGCATTAAACAAGTGACAAATATGCATTCAGTAAATAATAAAATTGAAAAGAATCCACAATCAAAATACTGCTGTGTAATTATGGTAATAAGTAATTCTCCTTGGTACAATTTAACCTTACTCTTGGACTGTTAATTAGAATATAAATTAAACTAAAATATGTCATGTGTACAATGCATCAATATCATGAATTCCAACTATCTTTTTATATCTTCATGCAAAAAGTTTCTGATAACTTGGCATACTTCTTAGTGCACAATAATATATCTCCTTTTGAAGTAACAGTTACACAGATTCTGACATATCATGATCATAGCTCTGAAAGTATCGTTAAACAGTCTCTAAAAATATCTAGACCGATAAGCACACTTAATAACAAATAATATTCATGTGTTGTAACTGCTGGCAAGTTTATAATAATTCCTGTCAGAAAGCTGAACCAAAACTTGTCGGACTAGTCAACATGATGAGACATGGCATAAACAATCTTCAAAATTGATCATATACCGGTATGTAGATATACATGTAAATATCTTCATAACATCATAGTAGTCTAGAGTTTCATTGCTATTATGGAATTATTGTGGTGAATAGACAATCCAGTTGCTACAGAGAATAATGTATTGTACGTGTACATGTATGCCTTGCCTCTTCTAGTATTAGCCATTCCCAAAGATTGGAACAAAGCTGAAATAAATTATAAAAACAAATACAAATAAATAAATAATGTTTACACTTGTTGAAAACGTTAAGACTAAGTCCAAAGTACAACGTTTGTATACCCTGCCGACTATAAATAAAGTTTATTTATTATTTATTTACAACGTTACCTCTTTTCGTATCATGCGATTTTTTTGGCAGTATTTTCATGGAAAAGTCGTTAACCAGCATCAAGTTGTACGATACGCGCCTCTTGCGTATTAAATTACAATGGTACCTTTGACAACTATTTGCTGAAAGATGCATCGAAACGATTCTTGAACACTTTACGAGTGTTTAAATATGAAAAACTCACAAGAAGAAACATCGAAAAAGTTGTTTTTCCATTACAGGAATATGAAAAATCATTGTAAATCAAAAACAATTACGGTGCGATACGCGTCACAAATTCGTACCTAATATTTTACAAAAATATGCGACTTTGGAAGTTAAATAATGCCGTCCTATAGCAAATTATTGATACAGTATTAATCTAAATATTGTTTGAAGCACCTTTAGCTAAATCAAAGCACATGTAGCAGTCTGTAACACCAAAGCATGAATTAAAAACACAAAGGAAACCATCTTGAAATGACCTTGACATCGACCAATCAGATCCTTAGTTTGATTTCATTCATAAATAACAACAACTTGTTTTGACGAACATGAAGATCAGTTACGAGATAAACGGAATAATATTAACAAGAATACAAATGAGCATACATTTAATTAAGATTATTTTAATAATCACACTCATCTCAAATAAAATTATTAATAATAATTACCTTTGTATTATCAGAATCCACCAAATTTAAAATGTCCTTGATTTACGTTTTGTCGACGAAGTTAAAATTACCGCCGACTGAGACTGCAACTCCGTGTCATAATAGTCCCAGCCGTTATACAATATTCCAACGCTTTTTGCCATTTGTCAAATGTAAACGACTTGTACAAATGTAATTAGAGATTTTCAGCGATGAAATAATTCATACAATTGTTCTTTGACATCTTAGCCAAAAGCACAGGGGATAATAAACTTCATAAGGATTTCTATTGAGCACTTCTTCCTATGTGCCACTTCAAAACTTTTGGGTGGTTCGACGATTATTTAAGGTTTTTCTGCTCATATTTTTTGTAATCCAGAATTAAAAGTATGAAAAAAGTGTTTAATTAGTTATAAAAAACATAATAGCCAGCTAGACAATAACAATGGCACGTATTTCAGCATTTATTTGGTAGAACACAAATCTAGGGTGCTTGCATAAAGCAGCTTAACTGCTTAAAAAACCTTAAATGATCGTCGAACTACCCAAAACCTTTGAAGTTGCACATAGGAAATAGTGCTCAATAGAAATCCGTACGTAGTTTATTATCCCCTGTGCTTTTGGCTACGATGTCAAAGAACAATTGTATGAAATATTTCATCGCCGAAAATCGGTAATTACAAGTCGTTTATATTTCCCAAAGGGCAAAATGCTCAGGAATATTGTTCATGTACAACAAATCTCTATGATAGAGGAGATAAAGTTATATAAGTGGGCGGTAATTTTTAACTTATCTTGCCAAATAAGGTGGTTATTTTATGAATGAAACGAGGTCATGAAACAGATGCAAAAATCGACGTTGATGGGATGTTTTAAGTAATGTGGACAACTCGTCCCCGAAACAAGTCGGACCGAATCCACTCAAACCGTCTAAGAAGACAACTTTGACCGTTTGTCAGATGGCATGAAGAAGGGAGGGGTTTATTATAGAACCCCATGGGATTTTATTTTTTTATAAATTTTCACAAATGACTATTTTTTCGAAAACAGTAAGTGATAGACACGTGTAGTCTTCAGTAATGAGAACAGGACAATAAAAAAAATAAAGGGTGAGTCCCTTGGGGTCATCCCAACCCCCTTCAATTTGAAAATGTACTTTTATCTTGTCAATCGAGGCGAAGCCAAGGTTGACAATGTTTTTTTTCAAGGGGTAAAACTCTGCTTTATCACTCTCTCAGCTATGTGTTATTTAATTAAATATATTATTCTGAATGTTCTGTCATTATATTGTCTTTAAATTTTAATTGAACGTACTTTACTATGACACCATGTACATAACAACGTTAATGTTATTACAAAAACAACAAAAGTAAAACGAGATGCATTTTTTTATTTGACAATCTATGGAAAAAGTTCTGAGGCTAAAAGGTAGAACCTGGGTATTGTTTTAAAAATTATTAATGGAATTTCAATTCATTTTCCTTTAATTTATCGATTTTTGATTGGACTGCGCGACAGGGTGACATTAAAAAAAAAACTGTCTCCCACCGAGCCATGGGATAGAGTAAATTATCTTCCTCGTGTTAGCCAATCAAAATCTTGCATTTTAACGTGAAGTATATTTTAAAAAAATGCCATTATACCTCTTGTGTCATTAAGGCAAGATGTTTTATATAGAACCTTAAACGACCCTCTGCCTTGTCTTGTCTAAATATTTCTAAATTGTATCTCTCACATGGGTATTACACTGAAAGAAGAATATTATTGATAATTATCTTGATATTTTGCAGGACTATTGTACGCTTAAAACTGCTGACAGAGTAAAATAATGGACAAGAGAAACAGCTTCTGGAGTGAATTTGAAAGGTCGGCAAGTTCAAAGTCCAGAAGTGATAAGGAACGAAGAGATGCCGGTAAAGATATAGTATTTTTTCATATTCGGTTTTCAGAACGTTTTTTTAGTACAATTATTTATTATAGGATTAAACGACTTTTTAAAGGAACTTATTGGTGTATAAACTAGACAAATTCACTGATATGTTTGTCAGTGACTTGGTCTAGTTTATACACCAATAAATTCCTTTAAGAATTGGAGATACGGGATTTAAATTCCCTACTCGTAACCTCCATCACATGTAAATTGTATATACGGGAGACCGGGGATGAATGAGACACTTTTCACATTTTTGGCAATACCTTTAAATCGACTGTACGCAGTTTTCTCGCTAGATCTAGCAAACTGAACCAACATCTCGTGCACATTTAAAGAAGGGTTTGAAACCACTAAGGCTGCTTCTTTGGTCACATCTGACGATTCTGTGTCATTGAATGTCTTGGCACATGAATAAATGTTTTGGTTAACGCAAAAAAAAGTGCTCCCATGAATTTGGTATCTGATAAAAAATAAACCACAAACATATCGTATTTTCATTCAAATGAATGTTTTGTGTTTATTTTTTAATTTAATTAACGATGAACGCGAAGTGAAAATATATATATTTAAACTATTGCCGGTTCGTGTTATTGTCGCCGCCATCTTGTTTTTACATTGGTTACAAAAAGTAGTTATCGAAAAATAAACCACTTCAAGAGTCACTACCGGAAGCCCTCTGGACCAATCACTAAGATGTAAATCAAAGGACCAAACGCCTTTTTAAAAGAATTTATTGATGTATAATTTGCACTAATTCACTCAGGCACAAACCTTATAATTCTTTACAACTGGAGATAATGATTTTAATTTTCCCACCCGTAACCTCTATCCCACGTAGATTGAATATTTGTGTCATTTGATTGGCCTGGCGCATGAATATGTTTTTTGGTTAACGCAAACAAAATGTACTCCATGAAATTTGCTCTTTAAACAAAAATACAAAAATATCTTATCATCATTCAAATGAATGTTTTGTGTATATTATTTAATTAAACGATGAACACGTTTTATTATCGCCGCCATCTTGTTTACAGTGGTTACAGAAAGTAGTTCGGTCAACGTCGTCTATCGAAAAATAAATAACGTAAAGAGCCACTACCGGAAGCCCTCTCGACCAATTATATAATCGTATTCTCTAATATTTAAATCATATAAGAATTATTCATCAATAAACATATCTTGATCAAAATAGTTCCTGTCCTGATATTCATGCAGCATTTGCCACTGGACATACACCAAATCCATCATCACCGTCACCGTAAAGTTTTGAATTTTGAAATCTATTTGAAAGTATAAATTCTGAATCACAATTTATAATATTTAAGAAATTTATAATTGTCAATTTTCGTTTTAGAGAACAAACATGCATTGAACAAAGTCAGGAGGCTGTAATTCAGTACACTTGATTGAGCTTTGATTAGCTTTATAGTCAAATTAGATTATTGGTGACAGAAAAACAAACGTTAATACTATACATATAAGTCACTTTTTTTTCATTTTACAGAAAAATTAAAGGAATCACTGGATAAAGAAAAAGGTGAGGGATTTACACAACGAAGCAATATAAAGCAAGTATGACTTGAGTTGACATCGTGTCTGTGAAGAACCGTGTAAAAACAAAATCGAAAGAACTACTTATAAAAAAGAAAGACCTAGTATTTTGAAAAAACAAGATGCTTCCACGGGTCTTTTTGTCGTGTATAGAAACATAGAACAGTTAATTTCCCCGATAAAGCCACAGTCGTACTACTAAAGAACATTCAAACTCTTAAGTCGAATATAACTGACAAAGCCATGTATAAAAAAGAAGAAAAACGTGTATTGTGGCCCTTCAATTCAAGTATATAAGCACAAAAAACAATAACAATCCGACTTCTTCCACCAATCCAATAAAAGCTGACCGCCAGGAAAAAGCCAAATAGAATAGTGCCGAAAGTGGCGTTAAACACCAAATAATCAATCAAGCAACACGTTATAGCAAATGCCATATTTTGTAAGGGTTGTATATGTAAAAGCATTGGTATGTGAGTATAGAAAAAAACCAAAATGACATAATTTCGAAACAAAATATAAGATGTTAAAATTAAGAATGGAAACGGGGAATGTGTCAAAGAGATAACCAACAGACCAAAGAGCAGAAAACAGCACAAGGCCACCAATGGGTCTTCAATACAGCAAAAAAGTCCCGCACCCGGAGGCGATAGCTTTTATGCTTTATTAAGATAAACAGAAAAATGGGTCACCTTATTTAATTCTAACTATGCAACAATATTTATAAATTTTATGTGCATTCCTTTAAAAAATTAAACTAGCTAATCATCTTCCCTTATAAAGTAAATTGTTAACATTTCTTAATCAATTTAATCTAAAAATGTTAAAAGTTTTTTTTTATCATAAAACACACAAAACAGATCTTCATTCAGATGAAAATGTTCACAAATAAAATGCATCCCTGCATCAAAATTTCGCTTATTACACTAAAACCTTTACTCATGATTATTTGGTGTAATTTTCGATCCAAACAACCAAAGGTTCCCATGCTACCTTAATGTTATTTAAAAGATATATTAAACAATTAAGTAGTCAAAGTTTTCAACATATTGAAACAGAAAGCATTTTTATTGCAGGTTATGGTAAACAACTCACCAAACATGTTACATGTGGATTTACAAGTAGGCCGATTGGACCACGTCCGAAAAAATAAAAATAAGAATAGTAAAAGTAAAAGTAAAGCTTAATTTGTAATTTTTCTTACATTTGTTATTACATTTACAGTGTAATTCTGCCATATGCAGTATGTATATATAAACAAGGTATCACGTTTTCGAATTATTGTTCTTTTTTATCATTCATGTCTAACATTGACCCTTTATTTACATCGGGTTTCATTTTTCTTCAAAACATTTTTTGGACTTAACATGCTGTGCTTTTGTGTAAACCATTAAAGCTAGATTTCTGGATACTAATTTGAATTTCATAATTTTTATTATATAAAGTAGAAGGTCCGGTAAGGGCTAATTTTGGCCTAAAATTCGAAGGTCATCTGATGAAAGATTTTTGACATTTTTTAAACACTCAAGTGCCTACTTCATTCGATTCAAATGGTTTTTGTAAAAGATTTGGACTGACTTGGTCATTAAAAACGCTCAAATTCAAGCTTAAATATGAAAAATCTATCAAATATGCCATTTAACGTTTATTTTCAGGTGGTTTTTATTAAAGGCAGTGCTTTAATGCCTTTCTGGTTGCCGGGTTAATCTTTCCTTCCGCGATATCCAACTTATCTACGTGGGGGGTCATTAGGCTACAAGTAGATCCGGAAATGTTGAATTCTCTCCTCTTCTTTTTGTGATATAAAATGTTTTTTGTTTCATTTCATTTACATTGGGAAATAAAGAAACGATCATTGTGTTTTGTTAGTTTTAAAAACTTTTGATATATTTGTATTTTGCATTATAAACAGTCAACCGATTGACAAACTAGAATTATTTGAATTCCGTGTGGAAAGAGGTCGGGTTAATTTCGAGTGTTATCTGCAATCTAGATGTTTTAAAATCATTTCAGTCGTTGATATAATAATTAAAGGTCGACTGAACATTGTAATATTAAGTCAATGAACTATAGGTTATCCTATAGTCTGGGAAACACCAAGGTCATGGCATCTGTTTACTATCAAACGTAAGTTCTTATCAGATCCTAACTGTTACTAGCTTTATATGAGAACTGTTTCCAGATCAACATCACTTGCGTGCTTTATACTTGACAAGTAAACATGTACAATGTATATAGTTTAGATTAGAATAAAACATATGTATATATATCAAAGGAGTATATTATTTGCCTCGCCAATATAACATGGTGGCAGCGGTTTAAAACATTTTAGTTACACCGGACAATTCTTTGATTAATCCTGTAGTAGTGCAGTACATTGACTGAAATTATGGCAACATTTCAAGTCGCAGCTCCAGAAAAGTTTGACTTTTGTAAGCCAGAAATGTGGACCAAATGGATCCAAAGATTTGATAGATTCAGATCAGCTTCGGGGCTGGAGGAAAAAGCAGGAGCCACACAGGTTAACTCTTTAATCTACACGATGGGTCCGGAAGCAGATGATATTTTTGCATCATTTGATTTGTTGGAGGAAAACAAAAAGAAATATGCAAAAGTGAAAGAGCAATTTGACAAGTACTTCATAGTTAGAAGGAATGTTATTTTCGAACGTGCAAAGTTCAATAAGCGGAAACAAGACGACGATGAAGGTGTAGAAAGTTTTGTTACATCTTTATACACATTAACTGAACATTGTGGATACAACGATTTAAGACAAGAAATGATAAGAGACAGAATAGTTGTCGGTATCAAGGATTCCAACTTATCATTGAAAATGCAGCTTGATCCGGAGCTTACTCTTAAGAAAGCAACTGACATGGCCCGCCAATCGGAGACTGTGAAGAAACAGCAGGCTATAATGAGATGTGACAATCCGAACTATAATGTTGATGCAGTTAAATCGAAATTCAACAAAACTAAATTTGTGAAAAAGCAGAAGCAGCCTTTCCATTCACAACAAAAGGGATGCCAAAGATGCGGAAATCGACAATTTCACCCCAGAGAAAAATGCCCAGCTAAAGGAGCAAAATGTTACAAGTGCTCAAATATCGGACACTTCGCAAAATCTTGTAGAACCGGGAAAACGGTTGAATCGGTGAGCGTTTATTCGGACGCTGAAGGATTTCTGGGAACAATCAACACAGTCGGTGATCGCCCCTGGACAACAAAACTTTTCATTCATAAAAAGGAGATAGATTTCAAAATCGACACTGGTGCGGATGTTACAGTAATTTCTGACAGTGATTTAAAAGGAATAAATAATATAGAACTGATGAAAGCGAACAAAAGACTGAGTGGACCGGGAAACACAAACTTAAATGTTGTAGGAAAATTTCAATGCATGCTTGAAACAAAGGACAAATTTAGTGTTCAGGATATATATGTTGTTAAGGGATTAAGTAAACCATTATTAGGTAGGCCAGCTATTCAGGCTTTAGGTATTATTGATAAGGTTAATGTTTCGTCTGTCAACGCGAGTAGCGAAGCGAATAACTACTATCGCGGTAAATATCCAAAGATATTTAACGGTCTAGGGAAAACAAAATGGAAATATACAATTGCGCTAGGTCCAGACGCGAAACCGTTTGCTTTGTCAACGCCGCGCAGAGTACCGTTACCTTTAATGGATAAGGTAAAGACTGAGTTGACAAGAATGGAAAAACTAGGGGTCATCTCAAAAGTCGATGAACCGACCGAGTGGTGCGCTGGCATGGTTGTTGTGCCGAAATCAAACGGTGACGTGCGCATATGTATCGATTTTACAAAATTGAACGAATCGGTCAAGCGTGAAAATTATCCGCTTCCAGCAGTAGAAGAGTCGCTTGCAAAGCTTGCAAATGCAAGAATATTTTCAAAATTAGATGCAAATTCTTCGTTTTGGCAAACTAACCTAGCAGAAGAGTCACGTCCGCTCACAACGTTTATTACGCCTTTCGGTAGGTATTGTTGCAATCGATTACCTTTCGGAATAAACTCTGCCAGTGAATTCTTTCAAAAACGTATGTCAGAGACAGTGGAGGGGTACCCAGGCGTATTGTGCCATATGGACGATGTTCTCGTGTTTGGTGCCTCACAGGAGGAGTACGACGAGCGCCTGGAGAGAATTTTAGAAGCGATCGGAAAAGCCGGTCTCACACTGAACGAAAAGTGTGAATTTTGAAAACCGTCAGTCAAATTCCTGGGTCAAATCATTGACGCGTCGGGTTGTAGGGTAGACCCAGATAAAGTTAAGGCTATTGCCGAGATGGCAAAGCCAACTGATATATCAGGAGTAAGACGTTTTTTAGGAATGGTGAATCAACTTAACAAATTTTCGTGCAAGGTGACAGATCTAACTAAGCCGCTACGTGAACTATTAAAGACTCACAATGCTTGGCATTGGGGTATAGCACAAGAAACCGCGTTTACCGAGATAAAGAATGAGCTAGCTTCGTCCGGAACGCTTGGACATTATGATCCAAATAAGGACACTGTAGTGTCAGCTGACGCGTCGTCGTTTGTATTGGGCGCAGTCATTAGGCAAAAACATGGAGAAATATTGAAGCCTGTTGCGTATGCTTCGCGTTCTATGACAGACACAGAGCAGCGCTACGCGCAAATAGAAAAAGAAGCGTTAGCTTTGACCTGGGCGTTTGAGAAGTTCAGCAATTATTTGATAGGTAAGAAGTTCAATCTCGAAACTGACCACAAGCCGCTCGTACCGTTACTCAGCAGTAAAGGTATTGCAGAACTTCCGCCGCGTATTCAAAGATTCCGAATGCGACTTTTGAGGTTTGATTTCACAATTGAGCACGTACCAGGTAAGGAATTGAATATCGCAGATGCATTATCTAGATCGCCGGTAGACATCTTGTCCGAGTCCAATGAATTCGAGACCGAGACAAAAGCGTACGTGGACAGTATCGTTAATAATTTCCCGGCATCAGATATGAGACTTCAAAACATTAGGGACGAGTGCGTAAAAGATGAAATATGCAAAACCCTAATGTTTTATTGCAAAGAAGGGTGGCCAGAAAAATCTAGTTTAAGTGACAGCTTGAAACCGTATTGGAGTCTACAGGGAGAGTTCACTATCGTGGGAAATAATTTATTAAAAGCCGATAGGTTAGTTATCCCGCGGTCGTTACAAGACGAAATACTAGAACGACTTCACGATGGTCATCAAGGCATAGTTAAATGTCGAGAGCGAGCCAAGTCCTCGGTGTGGTGGCTTGGTATCAGTACAATAATAGAAAACATGGTCAAAAGATGTCAAAAATGTATCGAAAATGCTAATGATCATGCGGAACCGCTATTGCAGCCGGAATTTCCTAAACGACCATGGCAAAAACTAGCGTCCGACTTGTTTGAACTAAAAGGGCAAACGTACTTATTAGTTGTTGATTATTTTTCGAGATACATCGAGATAGCAAAATTGTCTAGCACAAGTTCTCAATCCGTCGTGAATCATTTAAAGTAATTTTTTGCAAGACACGGAATACCGGAAACTTTTATTACGGACGGTGGACCTCAATACAACTCATTAACATTCAAGCAATTCGCGCAGTCGTATGGTTTTCGACACATAATGAGTAGTCCACGATTTGCCCAGTCAAACGGACTAGCTGAACGTAGCGTTCAAACTATTAAAAATATGCTAAAAAAATCAGACGACGAATATAATTCTTTACTTTCTTATAGAACAACACCGCTTGCTAATGGTTACAGCCCGGCAGAACTTTTGATGGGGCGTAAGCTAAGAACGTTGGTCCCAGTCGCTCCGAAAAACCTCGCACCTAAATTGCCTAACACTCGTGAGTTGTTCAGAAAGGAAGATGAATATAAATTTAAACAAAAACAGTATTATGACAGACGACATCGAGCGCGACCATTTTCTAAAGTAAAAACAAACGATCGCGTTTGGGTTAAAGATCAAAGGAAACAGGGAATAATCAAAGCGGAATCTAATGAACCGCGTTCTTATATAATTGAAACTGACAGCGGCGAAATTCGTAGGAATCGGCAACACTTTTCAAATTTGCCTGAAAAGCCTGATACAAAATTTGCTAAAAATACTTTTGAAACAATCCCCGATGAAATGCCAATTCACAATAATGAAATGAAAGATTACACAACAGATCAATCTAATAAATCTGATTTGTATGTAACCAAGTCAGGGAGAATATCAAAACCTCCAGATAGGTTAGATTTGTAAACAAAGATCAGCTGTTCCATTCATGATAACATTTATTAGTAATTACTATATTTTCTTACAAGCTGAAAAGGGGAGATGTAATATTAAGTCAATGAACTATAGGTTATCCTATAGTCTGGGAAAACACCAAGGTCATGGCATCTGTTTACTATCAAATGTAAGTTCTTATCAGATCCTAACTGTTACTAGCTTTATATGAGAACTGTTTCCAGATCAACATCACTTGCGTGCTTTATACTTGACAAGTAAACATGTACAATGTATATAGTTTAGATTAGAATAAAACATATGTATATATATCAAAGGAGTATATTATTTGCCTCGCCAATATAACAAACATGAATTATATTATACAATTTAAAGCGCATTTTTGTTTATGCACGTGAAGCCGTCTGACGTTATTGTTATTTCGGTATCAGTTCATATAAAGTAGCAAATTATCGTTCCTGAATAGGTGGCGACGTGGTAGCCGGTCCTGTTCCTCAACTTCCGGTTTCTGCACTGTGCAACTATTACAGTTACATATTTAATTAACGATGCCAAGTACTTGTTGTTGTGTACCTGGATGTCATTTAAGAGGAGGACATGCATTTCCAAATGACATAAAAAGAAGGAAAAGTTGGATCAACGCCATGGCCCATACGCAGATTGGACGAGAACAGAGTCCATCTCAATCAGCTGTTGTTTGCAAGGCACATTTTACTGAAAAAGACTTCGTGCAGGAAACTATTCATGGTAAAACTCTATTTTCGTTTTGAAATATATAGTTATATATATAATCGCCATGCGAATAAACCAAAGTCTGTTTACAACCGCAATTATCGTTTTAGAATTAAAGGGGGATGGTTAATTCAAGACGTCATAATTTTTTGGATTACGATTCAATGTGATCTGTTTGAGATTTTTTAGTGAATGCTACAATTATAATGATTTCTTACAAGAGGTATATCATACTGAGAATTATTTTAGCAGTAATTATGCTATTGTAGTAATGACAGGAATGCATAAGCTATGCCTCATAGACTTTCTTGAAAAATACCAATGACAATGTAAACAGGAACAAAACAACGACGTGCTCTCATCTATATTATAGTTATTTAGGTACAGACAATGTACGTTTGTTGCATTAGTCTCTCATTGTTTGTCCTTTGGATTTACATAACATACATTGAATCAGGCAAACAAAGTTTTATCCGGATTGTAATGAATAAATCTAGTTAATATTTTGCCAGGTAGTACAAAGTATACATTGCTAATGGAAGTTCATTTAATTATAAAAAAACAAATGTTTTATAACCTTTTTTAGGGCGCAAACCCACCATACAGAGACTTTAATAAGTCTACTGCCATTCCCAGCCTATTTTCCTGGACCAAGCAAGAGACTGAATCGTCCGCAAAAAGAAAAATCAGGGCAGTTTCCCGTGAAAACAAAAGAACTAAACTGGATGAATATTGTAGGAGAAATCTAGAGGAAAGTTTTGATTGTAAAATTGGTTTTCCTGAAGAAGTCATTCATACTGCAGAAAGGATTTATGACTGTCCACCACCAACTGCCGGGCTAATGTTGAGCTTCACAGATGGAATTACGCAAACACCATCAATGCCTATGTTTTCAGCAGAGAATTTCGCAAATGATGACACATGACACAGCCATGCATTTTTATACCGGTTTAGAGTATATACTAAATTTTTATTTGTTTTGACCACACTTGGTCCAGCAGCACATTGTTTGAGATACATATATTTTCAAATTGATAGGGTGTCAGTTGAAAAATCAGTTTTTTTATGACTTTGGTGAAATTGAGGCATTAAAAATTTGTACAACCAACTTTGAACTGTCTAGATTCTAGATTGAATCTAGTGTTAAGAATATTGTGTATACATGGATTGTTTTTATGTCAAAACAGTGGGGAGAGGCTAACACTTTGGCCATCTAGTGGTTTAGTTAGGTATTTTTCGCCATCCGACTTCAAATTAAAGTTTCCTACAACTTGGATTATTATTGACAGCACAGAATATCCCGTGATAAAACCTAAAGCTCCTAGAGCTCAACAGGCAACCTTTTCATCATATAAAAACAGAAACACTGAAAATACCTGTATGTTCGACACCTGGTGGTTTAGTCAACTATGTCTCTAATGCATATGTTGGTTGTACCAGTGACCGTCAAATAGTTGAAAGATGTAGAATAGTTCAATTATGTGATCCAGGTGACAGTGTGATGGCAGACAAAGGTTTTAATGTGCAAGATTTGTTTGCTAACTTTTTTGAAAAAAAGAAACAGAATTAGTTCGAAAACTCTTATACGGGATAGAAAAGTCTCCAATTAACATGTGCACATAATACGAACTATTGGACTTTGCAAAACATACAAAATTCTAACAAATCCTATGAATGGAACTGAAACAAAACTTTCATCTGAAATAACATTTAGTTGTTTTATGTTGTGTAATTTTAGAACTTGTATTGTGCCAAGGATGCATAAATGAAAGTGACGCAATGAATTTTGTTCTGATATATATATTTACAATTACATGTACATGTAAATTGTAATGCATATAAAAATAAGGAGATGTGGAATGATATTCAGTGAGTTTTTCGAACCAAAGTGCATAAGAAATGGGGTTAAGCAGTTACAGGTGTTACTGTCACAGTACAATCAGGGTTGGCAAAAACCCGGGTTTTATGAGTATTGCCCAGCCCAGTGGGAAATACTGGGAAAACCCGGGTTTTACTGGGTTTAACTGGATAATACTGGGCAATACTGGGTAAAATAAAATACTGGCCTGAATTTTAAAGAGGATTCAGTATTCAAACACAAATGCAATACATTTAAGATATTTATAAACATATTTTGATTTATAAATTAGTTTACTGTTCAGAGTCTTATAATACAAGTGTATACATCTGAGAAAGTATTATTCTAGCAACTTTGAGACAAGTGTACATGAAGACACAATAGACAGATATTTATGGAAAAAAGCCTTTCTCAATAATCCTCCTAAAAATCTATTAAATCACCCTTCTGTCTAGATTGGTCAAACTGTTACATAAAACCAAAGAATTGTTTGTTTTGAAATATATATAAGTAATATGTAGAATTAAAAATTACATGTAAGAAAAATTACTTTTAAATACTTTATATGTACATCACTAATTAATGAGTAATTATTCAGATTAGAACAAAGATATGATTATATAACAATAATCAGCCTTTTCATTTCTATAAGTGTTAATGACATGCCCCTCTAGGGTGTTTATTTAGCAATATGATTGCATAGCAATACAATTTACAATTCACTTAAACACTGCAATAAATTGTATTTTTTTCAAAGTTTGAATTATTGAAACAATGCATGGAAATTAACAAGCAATCCTATCTTGCAAATCTTGTATTCTGCCTACATAAAATTAGTGGAAAAAGCATGAAATTGAATTTTCAAGCTTCTAGAAATGACTCTTAATGGTTATCTGTAAAAAATGTGTATATTTAGCTATAATACTATGAAACTACAACAAGTCTTTACTATTTTATGTTGAAATAAGCTTAAAAAATCATATTCCCCAGTATTGCCCAGTATTACCCGTTTCTGGGAGTATTGCCAAGCCCGGGAAAACCCGGGTTTTCCCACCTGGGTTTTCCAAGGCAGGTAATATACTTTGCCAACCCTGCGAACAATCTCCAACAATGAGAAAAACTCGTACCGTGTAGAAATTTCAAAATTTCAGAGATATTACAACTAAGATTCGTTTTTGGGTTGAATCATTTTCTTCTTTTGTCTTACAAATATGGAGACGTGGTTAAAAATGCCAATGAGACAACTATTATGACAGTTACCAAACAACGAGTCTTCGAGATGTCATTTTTGTCGAGCCTGCGACTTTTGTCGCAGAAAGCTCGACATAGGGATAGTGATCCGGCGGCGGCGGCGTTAGCTAACTTCTTAAAAGCTTTATATTTTAGAAGGTGGAAGATCTGGATGCTTCATACTTTGTATATGGATGCCTCATGTTACGAAGTTTCCGTCAGTCACATGTCCAATGTCCTTGACCTCATCTTCATGGTTCATCGACTACTTGAAAAAAAAATCAGATTTTTTGTAATGTTAAATTCTGTCTTATTATAAGTAATATGATAACTATATTTGGTATGTGCGTACCTTGCAAGGTCCTCATGCCCGTCAGATAGTTTTCACTTGACCTCGACCTCATTTCATGGATCAGTGAACAAGGTTAAGTTTTGGTGGTCAAGTCCATATCTCAGATACTATAAGCAATAGGTCTAGTATATTCGGTGTATAAAAGGTCTGTAAGGTGTACATGTCCAACTGGCAGGTGTCATCTGACCTTGACCTCATATTCATGGTTCAGTGGTTGTAGTTATTTTTTTGTGTTTTGGTCTGTTTTTCTTATACTGTATGCAATAGGTCTATATATTTGGTGTATGGAATGATTGTAAGGTGTACATGTCTAGCTGGCAGGTGTCATCTGACCTTGACCTCATTTTCATGGTTCAGTGGTCAAAGTCAAGTTTTTGAGTTTTGATCTTTTTTTCTAATACTATATGCAATAGTTCAACTATATTTGGTGTATGGAAATATTTTATGATCTTTATGTCAGTCACGCAGGTTTTATTTGACCTTGACCTCATTTTCAAGGTCCATTGCTCAGTATTAAGTTTTTGTGTTTTGGTCTGTTTTTCTTAAACTATAAGCAATAGGTCAACTTTATTTGTTGTAATGAAGAATTGTTAGCTGTACATGCCTGCCTAGCATGGTTGATCTGACCTTGACCTCATTTTCATGGTTCATTGGTCAATGTTTAGTTTACTTGGTTAATGTTAAGTTTATGTGACAGTTGTAATAAAGCTTTATATTTAGGACTATCAACATAATATCAATGATTAGTAAAGAAGGCGAGACATTTCAGCGTGTGCACTCTTGTTTCTTAATTAAGAACTCCTCTTTTCATTCATAAATTACTTTATACTTGGAAATAATTTTGCTTGGAGTTATAATTTGTCTTCGAAAGAGTTGACATGTTGCAATGTACATTTAACATTATGTTACTTGATGTTCTTGCAATACACACAATACAGTGACTAAGCAATCATTATGAACTAATTTTCATAGGATGGAAGTCATTAAATATGCTAATATAAACAATAATAAAGAATAGTCCATTTATATTAATAAGTAAAAGTGCGTACCATGGTGAGGTACAGAAAATCATATATACATGTATACGGTGATTATCACCAAGGTTCAAATTTATATTCTGAAGTATAGGAAGACAATGTGTACCCCATTGTTAAATTTACATTGCTTTTAAGATTAAAATAGATATCTTGAGATTGACTGTATGTTACCATAGTTTACAAATAAAATTTATATAACATATCCATATACAGTGTATTTTATAATAATGCCACAATATCTATTATCATCCATGCCAACATATATGCTTGGTACATGTATATCCAATATGTAACTCCACAGATACACACATATACTATGTGCTAGTTTATTATATCAAACAGTCATACAAATTGCTCATAAACATCAAAGTACACTGAGATTTAATACCAACATTCTTATTGGCATACTTTACCTTGAGCTGTGTTGCATATACATGGCATATGAACATGTGTTCACCTTATTTTTAAAGCTGTGGAATCCAAGGATAGCAGGTTAATACCATCATACATATATAAAATGATAGACAAAGTAATCTGTGCACGATAAGTTCAACAGGATTATTATACATAGTTCTAAGGTACCAAATCAAAAGTTTATATAAAAGAAAGAAGTCAAAGGTTTCCCATCATAGTTAAGTTACATTGTACATACATTTTTTTTGTACCTGAGGTCGTTGAATATAGATCATTATATAAATGAGGAGATGTGGTATGATTGCCAATGAAACAACTATCATCCATACTTACTAGTAACAAACCACATTTACAAAGTTGAATAAAATACAGTTGATAGCATTTATTAATTACTTAAAAGAAAATGCCCAAACAGTATTTGACTATAATCATAGATAAACAAGGTACAAACTGGACATATAAATGCACTAGTTCATAAGTGAGAACAATCGCCTTCATAAAGTGCTCAGAATATGACATTCACAAAACTTGTTCAATATCATTAGAGAACTCTAAATTTTAAATACTGAAAGCCACCTCTGATAAGTACACTGTACTATGCAAGATAATGATATAACTGGACTAAAAATACACACAACCTGTAATTAACTGCCTTTACAGCGCTTTCGCGCTTTGATTAAAAATGGAATTGGCCGCATTCGTGTTCATTTTCAACGTTTATATATGTTATGTATTTTCATAAAATACAACATATATTTAAATATTAAGACTGAACACAAGTGCGGCCACTTCCATTTTAGACAAAAACCGTCTTAAAATTGGCACAAATGTTTAAATTGTGAAGATATCAGTATTATTGCATGAAATAATGATGCTAGTACCTGATGCATGTCCATTGTATTATCAAAAACAGCCTATATTTATGTAACAAAAGTATTCTACTTTCCAATAAATATCCAAGAGTTTATAATTTTACAACTTCGTAAAAACGCAATATTTTGCAATATATTGAAATACAAATTTGCATAGATACTTAATAAATTGTTATTAGATTAAAGAATTGTCTAACATATGTTTCTTTGTACAACAGCCAACATTATACTGTATAGATATAAGTAATGAACTGACAATCTAAAATTGAATGTACTAATAGTATTTGTATATACTAGATTGGCGGATCTTTTTCGACAGCGTTTTGGAGGTACAGGAATAATTGGTATGTCCCTGTCCAATACCTGTATTTCATTTCCACTGATAACCTCCGCTTCATGAGACAAAATTACATGACAATCTGTCTATGATATATTGTCTCAATACACACGAACAATAACCTCCCTTTACCAGGACAAAATTTCATAGTATTCATCTGTGAAATATTGTCTATATACAGACAAAATTTCACAAAGAAAATATATCCTTCTCTGAACATAATTTCATAGATGAGGACAATATGTCATGATACATAGTCGTGAAATATTGTCTTGGAGGACAATATTTCATAGGACAATATTTTGCTTTACAATTGCACAAGGTCATGTTTTTCCCTGACTGTTTATGACGTCTTTACACTAAATCCATTGGATCTAGGATGTGTACTGATTGATTTTTTAGTCTTAGTCTTGTTGTTTGTTTTGAAGGGACAAACTTGTTATTCCACTCATAACCAGTTATTAAGTCTTTTGTTATACAAAGTACATAATTATACCAATGGGCAAATCCAAATAGTCAGTGGCACATACATGTATATTTGCACAGTATGCCCCTTGATAATGCAAATTAATTGAAACAAAAAAGACACTAATTACAGATTTGAGACTACTCGCAGTTACTGATAGCTAATTCAAAGCTAATAACAACTTATAATAAATATTCTAATAGTATATCCTTATTACGCTTTGTAAACAAAGCCGTGTTCTAATGAGCACAAAATATGTTTCACACATGCGCACAAATTTACTGTTATTCTCGTTATTTTCGGCATTGTTATTCTAATAAAATATATACATTTTAGCAGCTTACATAAATTTTTATAATATATTGATTATCTAAAAACATATATTTACCCTGCTTTTAGTTTTTAAACTTATTAAATAATTATGAAAATGTAATGTACAGACTCCGAGAGGAGGAAACGAGGACAGCCAAACATTTTTAAGGTATTTTCGTACGCTTCGACTTATAATACTGTATTTGTCCTATTAGAATCGAAATAATTCCTTCATGTCATGCTCTATGCCCTTTTTTACATGGGTAGGCATTATATTTGACCATATTTTACACCTCGCTAACACTCAGTGTAAACTGATTACGTACAGAAAACAAAAGAGCAATGCAAATTAATGGTCAGTACATTATCCTGTCTGTATTATTAATGATGGGCATTGTATACAGACAAAATATACTAGATTCTTTAGTTTAATGCATACACTTGTATTATGATATCTTATTGTCAAATTGACATGGTAAGGGAGCAATTTCAATCTAAGCTTATATTCCAAAAACATGAAATATACATTATTACCTTCTGTGTGCTCTAAACATGCTAAAAGCTGCAGAAAACATTAAATATTATTTGTTACTGTTTCACAAGGATATCCAGTCAAGTTTCTCAATATTCAAGAAAGAGATAATTGCAGAAAATCTATATTTTATCAAATATTGTCTCCTTTTTAAAGGTTTTATCAGAATATTACCGTACAGTTATTTGCTACCTTTCCTGTACTGTTATCTGGCACTTAATCTGCAAGAAATTTATAATCGTACGTTGTTATGTTCAAAATTATATATGATTGACTTAACATGCTTAAAGGGGCACTAGCTACGAGATATATACAAAATTTGAAATATGATGTTTTTTGTTCAATCATTTATGAAAGTGAATTAGTGAAATAATAATTCGCTTTTAGCAGCCAGTATGGTTCAATTTTGGCAAAATAAGCTAAGAAACATCGATCATGAATTGTTCACTTGCAAGTGAATAATTCGACCTCATTGAATCCGTATTCATGTGAACTTCAATTTAAACCCTTAGTTAGAGATGGATAACGTATGAATTGTGCGTGTTCATTTATCAAAAGGAAAAGAATGTCAACATTAGAATAAAGGTAAATCATTTGATTGACTGAATCGATCCATAAAAACTCATTGTTATACAGGTAAAAACGATTATTAAAATATATTTTTAACCTATAATATGAAATTAAACAGACCTAGCACAGTGTAGAAAAATCCAATTGCACGAGTTGGCTGTCAATTTATATCTTTATTTATGTTTTTATCGCTTATATGATCATAGGCAATATTCGGAGGTTAACTCGATAGTTAATTAGATGGCGTCTAGACTAAAATACACACGAAACGACGAGACATATTATCGAGCCCATGCCTTGTAAATTGTTTATTTTAGACTTTTTATAATTTGAATAAATATTTGAATATTCTATAAATCAAATATGGGAATTTGATTCAAATCGGTGAACATGAATTTGACAGCTAGTGCCCCTTTAAGAGTAAATTTTTCAACAAAACAAATGTTAACAAGTATGTTCCAGTATTCAATATACTAGTATTGTGGTCTCTTATGTACATGATGTAGTACATTTGAAGGTCCAATGTCATTTTTCATTAGACATGTTAGAGTATATGGATGCTGTACCTTTGTCTCAGATGATAACGTTTAAATTCCTATCCTTTTTTCAATATTTTGTCAGCAGTGACAAAACATCAGTATGACCGTTCACCTCTGCAATGGTTAATGGAGAACTCAAATCGTCTCTCTGTATTTTTGGGTTAGCCCCCTTTTCCAAAAGTACACGAACAATAACAAGATGACCAAGTTCACAAGCATAAAACAGAGGCGTGGTGCCGTCTTCTTTTCGTATGTCTACACTTGATAACTTTCCAGTTAACAATCTGCAGATTTCAATATGACCCATAAAGCAGGCCACGTGAAGAGGCGATGATCCAGCAAACACACCGAATACGTAATCTACTGATTTGTTTTCTATATATGCAGCAATTGCGTCGGATCCAAAAGACTTTACATCATCAAACCATGCCTGTTTTTCATTTTCTAATGACTCTGTTTCTTCGAGTGATTTCGCTATTGCTTCCTCGTTGTGTAAACATTTATGAAAATTGGCGCCATTTTCTAATAGTAGTTCTGCGATATCTCTAAATCCCATCCGTGAAGCTGCAAACAACGGTGTATCACCATCTAGCATTTCTGAATTTGGGTTTGCTTTATATTGAACAAGCAAACTAACTATTTCTGTGTACCTATTCTGGCATGCATATAAAAGGACAGACATTCCATCGTGCAGGCAGATGTCGGGATCTGCTCCATGCTTTAATAATTCCTCGACAGCTGAAGTAAAGTTTTGTCGACATGCCATGAATAAAGGGGTCATGTTATTTTCCTTAAATCTGTACTTATTAACTTCTGCATTTTTCTTAAGCAGCTCGCTTATAATCTGTAAATTGCTTTGAAAGAAACAGGCAATCCCTAAAGGCGACACTCCTTCCTCTGTACATAAATTAACGTCAACATTGTTCTGTAATAAAATGTTCACAACATCACCATAATTTTTCTGGCATGCCATATACAACGCTGATGACCCGTCTTGTCGGCGTTCATTAACATTTGCTTTATGTTCTAAAAGCCAATTCAGAAGATCCACGTAACCATCTACACATGAAATAATTAATGGTGTGTTACCGGATGCAAAGTCAACTCGAAAGACGTCTTTCATGTTGGACATCTTTGTTGCTTGTATTTCGCCAATCCCGTTCAGACCTTTAAGAAATTCTTCTCTAAAGGAGGGACTTCTCATATTTATATTATAAAACACATCCGATACCTTCCCATTTGACCAATCCGATATCATTCTATCGATATATGATTGTAGAAATTCATCCTTTAAGCTCACTATATTTTCCATTACATGCCAGTGTTCTTCAGTGTCGATAGCCTTTTCCCACAGAAATCTTTCTCGCAGAAAAGCACTGTCTGCATGATCGATAAAGCATTGCGTCATCATCTGCCCAAAGTAATATGCCATGAAATCAAATAATTTATCATGATAAACTTCATAAACTCCATCATGTTTACTGATGTACGATTTCTCCAAAGTGTCTAGTTCATCTTTAAGCCCGATGGCCGATGTTTCCTTGCTAAGTCCACAATATTCGCACGTATCCTTTACAATTTTTCGAAACTTCTTTGTAAGTCTTACAAAATAGCTCTCCTTTAGTTGATTGTTAAACAAGACACAAAGACACAACCCACATAGCTTATATGTCCCGTTTATTCTTAGTGCTTCTAATTCTTTTTGGTAAAAGCGATATGGCGTGTTAAAATATTTTTCAATATCAACATCTTCCTTTTCGGTCAAATACAGTGCACAGAGGAAAGGAAACATGTCGTTTTTCCTCGAAAGTATATCAACTTTAATATTGTCTAAGTTCAAATAAGTTTTTACAAACTTTTTTTTCTCATTTATTGTAAGACATAGCTCTTCAGATGTAATATTACATTCACATGTTTTAAATGCGTCAATCTCCGAAAATTTTGCATCTTTATACACCTGCAATCGGCAGGACAGCAATATTTTGCAAAGATCGTCTGCCATAACCTGGTTCAAGACATCTATCATGGAAATCCAATCATCTATTTGTCTTTTGTTAGCAGTGAATTTCCCACAAACATCCTCTAAAACAAACAATGTTTTTCTTCCTGGTTTGTAATAGTTCTTTAGTTCCATAGGATTTGAAACTATAATAATATCAAAGCCGCTTTCTTCGTATAACAGTAATGAGACATGTCGCACAATTGCACTTTTACCCGATCCACTGCTACCAGTTACAGCTACACAGCTGTTTGAACTAATCTTTGCAAGAACATCCGTTTTAGCTCTAGTACGAATGAATTTTATATTTTTGATTTTCCATTCATCAATTCTCCTTTTTACTTGTTCTGCAAAGTATAAGGCAAAGTTAGTCAATGATTTGCACGAAAGCAAAGTTTTTTTTTAAAAGCAAGAGTATATAAACGAAATTCACCTAGTTATGTTCCAATAATGATTGAAAGGCAAAATTGTATGACGTTTATAGTCATTTACTTGTATATTCATATATATTCATTATTAAAGGGTTTTATTGTTGATATGATTAGTATACATGTGTGTTTTATTCAAGTATGTTTAATTCGTCATTTAAAAAAATACAATTTGGTGTTCACTCACTTAAACGGAATTCCATAAAATGTCTGATCCCAAATCCATTTGAAGCTTCATATGGCACGACTAATGGAATGTCAGTCTACCAGAGTGACATTTAACCAAATTGCTGCATTAAAGGGTACGTTTTAATTCTAAACCAAAGGAGTAAGGGGGCAATAAGGCCCTTATTTGGCCCAAATATTACTGCACATTTAAAAGTTGTCATACATATATTCTTAAATTTGTCCTAACTAGACTAAGGTACAAGGTATTCAGAAAATAAAAACCAATTTTCCATTTTACGAGTTACCATGTCAACAAATTGTGACAAAATTTGTATATTTTCTAAAATTTCTTGATCTTGCTTGTTTTTCATCAAATTTTGAGTATAATTCAGATTGGCAAAATATGTGCGCAACCAAGAAACAACTTTATATTTGGTGAGATTATGTCAATAGTTATAATAAAGAATCTCTTAAATCATTTTGATGTTTCTTGGCTGCGCACGATGTTTTCATAATTGAAATAACGATGGAAAACAGCATACATTTCTGTATTTTTCATTGTTTACATGAAAACGGTACATATTATGACGTAAGTGTGACGTCATCAAATAAAAAATCTTATGTTTTTCATTGATATTTCTTGAATCAAAGCATTTTCAAACATTATGTGCCAATTTGAAATAGTCGTCCAACATTTTACTATCTTTAGCCAAAACCAGACCTTAATGCCCCTACTCCTTTTAATTGTAAATTTTGGTTGCAACTACTTCAGGCAAAATTGCAAATAGATGTTTTAGCTGTTTTGTATAGAGTGTACCTAGAGAGGGGTTATTCCTAAAAGTTTCATGTATACTTTATAATTTACAAATGAAATGAATAAAAAGTGTTCTTTTGTTAGTATAGGAAATATCATTGTAGTATGAAGAAACAGAGATGTAGGTATTCGTCACAATAGCAGAAGACTTCTTCAAGTCTAAACAATGTAAACGAGTATAAATTTCAAGACATATTTTTATCACGCTATCAAGAAAAATTGTGAATGAATGTTAACTACCGGTATAGGAAAGCATGCTATTGCATTACCTCGATAATTACAAAATAATGAAATATGTCATAATGAAGATACACATTGTTGTAACTAAAGAGAACGACTTGTAACCTTCAAACTAGTTCAACCCCGCAATATTTTGTATGTGTCAGTCCCAAGTCAGGAGCCTGTAATTCATTGGTTGTCGTTTGTTGCTGTATATCATAATTAGTTTTTGTTCATTATTTTGTACATACATCAGGCCGTTAGTTTTCTCGTTTGAATTGTTTTACATTTGTCATTTCGGGGCCTTTTATAGCTGACTATGCGGTATGGGATTTACTCATTGTTGAAGGCCGTACGGTGACCTATATTTGTTAATTTCTGTGTCATTTGGTCTCTTGTGGAGAGTTGTCTCATTGGCAATCATAACACATCTTTTTATTTTCGTATTTACACATTTAAAATACATACTGTTATATCTGACCACCTCCCTTTTTATACGACCGCAAAAAATTTTTGCGGTCGTATATTGGTATGACGTTGGCGTCGTCGTCGTCGTTGTCGTCCGAAGACACATTGGTTTTCGCACTCTAACTTTAGTTTAATTGAATGGATCTCTTTGAAATTTTACCATAAGGTTCAATACCACAAAAGGAAGGTGGGGATTGATTTTGGGGGTTATGGTACCAACAGTTATGGAATTAGGGGCTAAAAAGGGGCCAAAAATAAGCATTTTCTAGTTTCCAGACAATAACTGTGGAACGGTGTATGGATCTCTCTGAAATTATACTACAAGTTTCCATACCACAAAGGGATGGTTAGGATTTGCTTTGGGAGGGGTATGGCTCAAACCGTTTAGGAATTAGGGGCAAAAAAGGGGGAAAAACAAGGTTGTCCTGGTTAATGGACAAATACTTTAGTACAAACATTAAAGCAGTGTAAGGGAGATAAATCAAGTACATCATTGAAATTATCTCCATTACACTGCTTTTAAATTATGTATAAAGTAATGGTTAATGAACAATCAAGATAATTTAAAACAGTGTAAGGGAGGTAATCCAAATACAACGTTTTGGTTACTTCCCTTACACTGCTTTTAAATTATGTTTAAAGAAATGCATATTTATAAAGGAAGACCAGTAAAAATATCTGCAAATGTTGCATCTTTTTTTTTTACAAAAATATCCATATGAAAGATTTGACACTATATTTTAAATTCTATTATAAAATAGATTAAGTTAGCACTATGGTAAATTTAAATGGGTAATTATGGTTGCAAACTCCATTGGAAATTTGAATTGAGATTATGACCATATCTTGAGGGAAAGAATTTTTCGGGGGAAAAAGGGGGGGGGGGGTAAAAAGAAATTGTGGGGGGTCATTTTTTTCTCATTTCAGATTTCAGAAATTAAAAAGAATTATTCTTCAAATATTATTTTTTTTCAAATTTCAAATATTGAAAAATTTCAAGAAGTAATCTTTAATTGCACAGTATGGCGCATTAGATTTGTAAAATCTTTGACCACCTTTATTTATTTGTTATGCCGAATCTAACCGTGTATTTAGATTTTTAATTTTTGGTCCAGTTTTCAAATTGGTCTACATTAAGGTCCAAAGGGTCCAAAATTAAACTTTGTTTGATTTAACAAAAATTGAATATATGGGGTTCTTTGATATGCAGAATCTAAACATGTATTTAGACTTTTGATTTTTGGCCCAGTTTTCATGTTGGTCCAAATTGGGGTCCAAAATTAAACTTTGTTTGATTTCAACAAAAGTTGAATATATGGGGTTCTTTGATATGCTGAATCTAACCATGTATTTAGATTTTTTATTTGTGGGCCCCGCTATCAAATTGGTTCATATTGAAGTCAAAAGGGTCCAAAATTAAACTTCGTTTGATTTCATCAAAAATTGAATTATTGGGGTTCTTTGATATGCCAAATCTAACCGTGTATTTAGATTTTTAATTTTGGGTCCCGTTTTTTAAATTGGTCTACATTAAGGTCCAAAGGGTCCAAAATTAAACTTAGTTTGATTTTAACAAAAATTGAATTCTTGGGGTTCTTTGATATGCTGAATCTAAACATGTGTTTAGATTTTTGATTATGGGCCCAGTTTTCAAGTTTGTCCAAGTGGGGGTCCAAAATTAAACTTTGTTTGATTTCAACAAAAATTTAATATATGGGGTTCTTTGATATGCTGAATCTAACCATGTATTTTGATTTTGGACATTGGACCATAATTGGTAAATTAAAAAAATTCAAGTTCTTAGACCACATTCTTTCTGTGTCAGAAACCTATGCTGTGTCAAATATTTAATCACAATCCAAATTCAGAGCTGTATCAAGCTTGAATGTTGTGTCCATACTTGCCCCAACTGTTCAGGGTTGGACCTCTGCGGTCGTATCAAGCTGCGCCCAGCGAAGCATTTTATTTTAATTTGGATTAGTGGGAATTTTTACTTTTAATGGCATGAAACTACGGATTTTGTTTTTACATCATTGAAATTGGCTGTTATATAATTTTGATAATCATATTAAAAATATGGAATGTGTCTCCGCCCTTATGCACATTCCTTTTTCAAAATTGGCTTTATTGTACCTTTTTGGTTTTATCAGCACTTTAACGTTTGCATTAGATATTTTGCTTTAAAACAAGTATGCCTCGAGTATGACTAAAGAGACATTAATTGTCGAAATGCAGATCTGGTACAATAAATTTGGTAGCATTTATGCTGTTATTACGACTACGTCTAAACTATAATAAACCTTTTTGAAGAAAACAGTATTTTTCTAACACTCCCCGCATCCATCCCCTATGATTCATAACAACTTGCATTTCTTGAGCTGATAGTTTATTTTATCTACCTCTTATATTCCTTGGAACCGGATCTTCTTGTTCAACTTCAAGCTTTTCCAATTTGTTTATTATTTGTTCTTTGTCTTCCTTGAAAGTGTTAATTTCAGCTTTGATTCCTTTAACCTCTTCTTTCCCTGCAAATGTAATCTGCTTTATATATTTGGCACTCTATAAAGAGTGTGTATTTAAAACCTAACTTCAAAGACAAAGCTTTTCGTTGATGTTTCATCCACGACATGAATGAAATAGTTGTCACTGGACATTAGGCAAACAACAACCAGTCTTCCAATCAATTGTTTTTCTTATTGCATTGAACTGTCTTTTTAAGTTTAAGTTTAAACATATCTTATTGTCTAAATAAACAATAGGATTGGATACAAGTTATAACAACTTAACATAATCCTCTCCAAATAAGTACAATATAAAAACAGATGACAGCAATTATATAATTCAGTACAATATGAAAAAAAATATATACAATTAATATATTATGTTTAAACAGTAACAATTGGATACGAGTTCATTTTAAGATACAGCAATATTAATCAAAGAATCGTTTTGTATGGCGTATATAACTATGTATATTTCTGAAAAGGATTGTGTTTTGTTCAACACTAACTTCGTCTGTTCCAAATAAAACATGTTCTATGGTAATAGCAACTAAGTGTTGGATATTTTCAAAGAGCTTTTTTAAGCATAACATCATTCATTTTCACATATACACTTTAATAGAATGTTAAAAGGGGATATATATTTTGTTGTACTATAATTTTTATTGATTAATGTATATGTTTGAAGATTCCAATATCTATGTAATAAACTTACTACAATATATCATGGTATATGCTTAGGTAAATCAATTTATTTTCTTAATAGGATATATACTATCCTACACCTTCTCCCCAATAAAACCACAGAGGAAATCACAAACAGAATAATAAGTGAATGCAAGAGTTTGTGTGGATAAAAACTTAAGCACACACCAGCATGCTAACTTACCTGCTATTTCAGATTCAGTCGCCTTATATTGTATTGCATGTAATATGCCTATTTGTTTCTGTAGTTCCTGTTGATCTGTTCTAATTTCCTCGATTTTGATTCCAACATCATGATTTTGTATTTTTGATTCGTCTAATTTGCTTCTCAAGTTATCTTGTTCCTTCTTTATTTCTAACAGCCTTTTGTTAGCCTCAATCTTTTCACATTCCAATCCCGAAACACTTTCCTTCAATTTGTGTTGAGTTATGTCTATATTGGTCATATTCGTGAATAATTGTGTTTCCTCTCTCTCCAATTTGTCAAGTTTGGCTATTATTTCTATTTTTGAATCCTGTAGTATTTCATCCATTTTACCTACTAGAAATGTTTTAACTAAACTTAAAATTAGTATTAATATAAATATATTGTAATAATCATGATCAACATATCATAATGCATAACGTTTATCTGGCCAGTTCGGATGAACTGAATATTTGATTCGCTTCTGTTTCGCAAGCTACTGCTACTGCTACTGCTTCTATTCCTGCATTTATTGTAATTATCATGGTTAGCCTATTTGTTTTGGTGGCAAATTGTGACGCAATAAGTTTTGTCGTCATCGTTGTTTGTCAGATCCGGAAATTTCATAAAATATTCATATGCTCTATATGGAATGTTTGTGGCGGACGGCTCTTCTAAGCTTCTCCTTATCAACATGGACAACAAAATCAACTGGAGGACAATAGAAACAACAAAATTGTAACTATAACTTTGACCATTGGGTCTAAATTCTGGTCAATGGGGAGTTTATAAGCTTAGCCAACACCATGCCAATGTTCGTTTTCCCTTTCTACCATACAGGAATCATAACTGCAGTAAAGGTGCAATATGGCATATGCACAAGTAGGCATACCGACTTCGATTGATAATGGAATGTATGCAAGTTAAAATGTTTAAACATTGTGCGAATGTATAAACATCTCATATGTTTCTTTTTTAAAATACTTTAGATTAAAAATGCATTTTCATTTACTATTTAGTAATATTAAGCTCGCACATTGTTAACTTAACGTACCTTCTGTTTCTATCTTATTATCTATATCTTGTCTTAGTTGTTGTACGTTGTCTCTAGTTTCCTCCTGAAGCTTAGCAATCTGCTGTCGGAGGTCAGTTATGCAGTTTTTACTTAGCTTAGCTTGTTCTAATTCATCACATACATTCTTGTATTTTGTTCCACCTAGTCTTATAATTGCCTAAAATACAACAGATAAGTATTTGTATAGGGTCTTTTGCATAGGGTGTCATGCTTTATTTTGAACTCAGAAGGCAATTGTTCTTTTGAAATATTGACAGAATCATTTGCCAAATTTGTACTGCAAATACCGGTCAAAGAAGTGTGAAGGTAATTGTGTAGACCTATGATTAAACCAATCAATTCCATCTGATTGCCACAGTTCCAAATCAGACTGAAGACAACCGATCATCAATTGTTCAAATGAGGAGGGTTTGAAGAAACTCCAAATCTAAAAGGTAGCCAAAACGTAATAATTCAGACGTATCCATTATTGATCATGTTTAAGTGTGTTTACTGTTTGGTCCTACATCATCTTGTTTTATAGTACAGTTATTCTATTGTTATTTTCTATTATGTATCAGTGTATGTTTAAGTAACATAATAAATCGGCTATTTCATTTATATGTAACATAATGAATCGGCTATTTCATTTATATGCACAGGATTTTTTTGTTTATACACAGTTTTGATTTATAAGAAAATCCGACATGGTTAGAAACTACAATTTATAACACCTTAGAAACACAATTCCATTTTAATATTCTTCTCATGGTTAGAAAATACATAAAATAACACCATTATAAACTCAATCCCAATTTTATATTCTTGTACGAGTCTACAATAAAACCAATCTATACAATTTTTAGAAATTTCCATGTGATAATACAAACGTCGCAAAAATACGTACGTCACTTTTTGAAGCGTTGATACATTCGTGTGACGCACATACTTTGTTTGTGGTGTACTGGTATACTGTTGTAAATTCATGGGAGGTGGCCGTTGTTATTCTGTAGTTTACATGTTGTTATGTACTATTATATTATTTATTTATTAACATCTCCGTCCTTGGTGTTCTTGATTTTATTTGTACTGTATTCCTGTCACGTAACATTGTCATATTAGCGGGAGGTTTGGCTAGCTATAAAACCAGGTTCAACCCACCATTTTTTCTTAACATGTCCTGGAACATGTGGAACAAGTCAGGAATATGGCAGTTGTTATCAAATAGTGCGTTTTTGTGTATGTTGGCGTTTGATTTTGTTGCAGTTCAGTGTTTCTGTTGGTCCGTTATTTTCCTTTTATAGTTGATGTGTTCCCCTCTGTTTTAGTTTGTAACCCGTATTTGTTTTCGCTTAATCGATTTATGACTATTGAACAGCGGTATACTATTGTTGCCTTTATTTAGAACCAATTGAACCTACTATCCTTACAAAACTTATTTCCACCTGCCCCCAACTGCACCAAAATCTTGGTCTTACTGCATATCAGTATCTAAATCAATTTTAGTGAGATTGATTTCTTTATCCCAATTTTTGAAGTACTTCACAATGTATATTTCGTATTTATTTACTCTTGTAGCTAATCATAACGAATTCTTTTATAAAATATATGTTTACACAAAGCATTTTTACAAACATTAACACCATCCAGCATCGACCATTATTAGATACCAGGATTAAAATGTTTTACGCTAGACCTGTTTCGTTTAGACTCATCAGCGATGCTCGAATAAAAATTTAAAAAAGGCCAAATAACGTTATACGTTGCAGATCTAGAGCATGCTCACCCCAAGATGTCTAAAGGTTTTGAGGTAAGGGTAGAAAATCCTTAGCATTTTGAAAATTGCCAAGTTTGTAACAAAGTTAATTTAAAGTTATAACTGCATCAACTATATTTCTTATCAACGCAGACGTTCTGGCGATACACTCGAGGATGAAACCTCCTCCAGCAGTGCCATCGACCCAGTGCATGGTTATAAATAAACTCATCATGGATACCAGGATTAATATTTTATGTTTCTTAAATCTTTTTCCTTAACAGAAACTAACGAAAGGTGTACTCTAGTAAGAGACAGGCGTCAAATGTATCTTTAGATTTACGATATTTTTTGCTTGTTTGTATTTTATGGATTCTTAATCATTGGTTTTTACCAAAATGTTTACTTTACTTATAATATATTTCTACATAAAATTTTGTTTTTTAAAGGACTACATAATTGTTGTTTTAGACTTGATAACTATCCAAAGTTTGTAAACTCACATGAACAAGATCTTGCCACTTTGCTTGAAAGTCAATGGTTGCAATTTTGTCACTATCAGCATGGGCCACCTCGTTCCTGTAGTATTTGATTCTGGCCAGGTCAGCTCCCATACTTGTTTCTGTTATTAAAGGTAATGTGTCAAAACCATTGATTGGCGGGCTGACTGATACAAGATTTCTAATCAGACACACCATAAGACTAATATCATACACTTTTGATGATGTAGGTCCTGCAAAAATAATTTTATTAAAGATTTGCAGGATTAATGCGTGTATAATTTATTTGGCTTATTTGTCATGTTTTATTGAATTTTTTTTTTTCAATTTTCAATGATTATCTTTAGATAAAATAGCTTGAAAAATTATCCAGAAAAAAACAAGATGCAATATCACTGAGATCTGTCCTTGGCTCTGAAAACTGGATGGTACAAGGTAAATCATTGAAATTTAACTATAGATCGAAAGATAATCGGATTATTTAACATGTCCTGTGGCAAGCACTCGTCAAGGATTTGTATACTAAGACTATACCTATCATTGGCCTCACCTACAAGGGACCTATTTGTAATTATTTCGTTAACCAATGAAATTGAAGGTGTGATTTACAACAACAAAACTCGAGGACCACAAACGGATATGTAAAAAAAGCTTTAGCTTTCTAAAAAGCCTTGAAGTGCTTCGCTCACCATCCTTTTACTTGAGATGTGGTCTTTGATGTTCTTTTAGTATGGGAAAGGTATAATACATCTCCTTTGTGCATATACTCATAAGTGTGATATTTTAAGCCCGTCTTAGAATTGACCTATTATGGTATACTGTAGTTTTTCCCTAAACACTTCCTCCAATAACTCATATTTGCTTTAACCAATTCCCTTTAAAATATAACGAAATATACGGATTGATAGAAGGAAGCTTCCTTTAATTATAAAACTCTTAAGTGTCGTCATTCGAGATATACCGTTTGATTTTAAAAATCTATGATTCTGTCATTCCACAGCTATGGGAATTTGACGGTCGGATTAATAAAAGGTAGTTTTCTACATGGCATGCACTAGTATGCTTTGATCAATTTAATACATTTTACACTTTTATTGGTATTGGTAAATCTAGACTCATTTTGGAACTTGTACATTCTATGGTTAGTCGTTCTAGAGTTATGGGACTTTTAACATTTTTTTTCAAATTCTTGAAGATTATTGGCAGTAATATGTCTTTTTATTGTTGGTGAATATGTATATATAGTCGGATGATCACTCAGAAACTTGTTCATCTTGTCCCTTTTCTTTTTTATCAATGTGAATTTGACTCGACATAATATAAGCAAACTAAACTAGTAAAGGCAACATTATTCATTGATCGGGTATTGGATCGGATCTTGCATATCCATATTGAATTTTTGTCCGTATTATATATCTTCTCCTGTCTGGGACATCTTCCCAATTCTATATCTCATTCTAGCCAATAGAATCTTTCTCACATTATATAGCAACCAATGATAACCGATATTTGTTACGTAATAATTTCAAGATGGCGTGACTAAACTATGAAAAAAAATGTGGATAGTGTCCACATGTGGACACAGATGATGCCCCCGCTTGCATATCATATAGTTATAAAGGGACATAACCGAAGAACGGTAAAAGTGACGCTACCCAAATTTGATCTTGATCTGAGTTTTGTGGTAATAAGCATTGTGTATAAGTTTTATAACATTTGGTTGAGACAAACTAAAGTAAGAGAACAGAAAAGAAAAATTCAGCAATTTTGTTAAAGTTTATAAAGGGGCATAACTCAATAAACTTATTCGCTGAGCGCAGCTGGATACGCCCGCAGAGGTCCAACCCTGAACAGTTGGGGCAAAAATGGACACAATATTCAAGCTTGATACAGGTCTGAATTTGGATTGTAATTAAATATTTTGACATATTATAGGTTTCTGAATAAATGTAGTCAAAGAACTTGAAATTGGTTATATGAATTGAATTTATATTCAATTAAAGATTTCTTGCTGTTGTGCAATACACTATGCTGTTGCGCAATGCTTAGTAAATCTGTTGTCAGACTATAAACAAATAAAATTTATAAAATTCTAAAGGAAGCTTACATCAATAGATATAAAAAATTCCCCAAAGTTTCATAAGAATTGCTGAAAGCATTTTTGAGTTATTGTCTGAAAACTGGAAAATACCACCCTTTTTAATGAATAAAACCCCATAACTCGGAAATGTAAAATCTAAAATTTATAAAATTCTAAAGGCAGCTTACATCAATAGATATAAACAATTCACCAAAGTTTTATGCAAATTGGTTAAAGCGTTTTTGAGTTAATGTCCGACATGTTGACGACCGACGGACAGACGGTATACCATAATACGTCCCGTAAACGGGCGTATAAAAATGATTAAAGTGATGCCACCGAATTTCGTACTTAAACTGTATTATGTAGTAATAAGCATTGTGTATAAGTTTCATAACATTTGGTTGAGGCAAACTAAAGTTAGAGAACGGAAACAAAAAATGTGTACTTGATCTTAGTTTTGTGGTAATGAGTATTGTGTATAGGTTTTATAATGTTTGGTTGGGGCAAACTTAAGTTACAGAATGGAAACTAAAAATTTTGCAATTTTTCGATTTATAAAGGGGCATTACTCAATAATGGTTAAAGTGACACTACCTACATTCAACTTGATCTGTGTTTTATCAGTGGAAGGCAAAATTAAACCTTGCAATGTATAAAGCATTGATTGTAGTTGATTCAACTATAATCAAGGACAAAGGAAGATAACACCAATTTTAAAAATTACTTGAATAATGACATTGATATTTTTAGAAAAAAAATGAAAAAAAAATTGTAAAGGGGCATAACTCTAGAACAGTAAAAGTGACGCCACCAAAATTCAAACTTGATCTGTGTATTGTGGTAATAAGCATTGTGTATAAGTTTCATAACATTTGGATGAGGCTAACTTAAGTTAGAGAACAGAAATGAAAAATTTTGCAATTTTTCCATTTATAAAGGGGCATAACTCTAGAACGGTTAAAGTGACGCCACCAAAATTCAAACTTGATCTGTGTTTTGTGGTAATAAGCATGTGTATAAGTTTGATAACATTTGGTTGGGGCAAACTTTAGTTAGAGAATGGAAACCAATTTTTGGACGTACGGACGGACGGACAAGGGTAAAACTTAATGCCCCCTCCCTTTCGGCGGGGGCACAATAACTTCGCACCGTGATGCGAAGCAGAAACAGGATCTGTATATATAAATCAGATTGGATCGATTGACCTAGCAATTTGTTTAACAAATGTTACAGACAGCCGTGCCCAATGCTGACCCCGTAATGGGGGGTTGGATAGTAGGAAATGGACAAAGTTAAAGGACCAATTTCCTTACATGTTATAGATATTCAACACTAATTTGTCGAGATTCCAAAGGTAAGTTCTCATATAACTTCGACGTCTTAATTTATGTTTAACTGTAAATTTAGATAAATCGCGAAATATATTGCTGTATATTCTAATACTAGTAAGTCATTGTTCAAAATGCCTCAAAATATCGCAAAGAACGTTTTATTACGACTAATTTAATTAAAAAAACTTTTAATATAAGATATAGATATCATAAATTAGTCATAACTATTTTTTCTTAATAAAATTACAACTATACAGAATAAGTGCCATCTGCATGAATTTTATCAATAATACCGATACAACTTCAGTTTTAACGGATAACATGGATAAGACTTAGCAAAGGGGAAAAATGCGAGGGTCTGTCAAGCATTTTCTGTGTTTCTTACCGAATCTTTATATCGTTATTATGTCAAGTCAATACACAACTTCTGTCTTTATACTGCAATCTAAAACAATTCTTTAGTAGAAAAACAAGGGATATACCCATTTAATGTTATCACTTTGCTGTTAAAAACATTTTACAACTGCTTTTAAAGGTTCAATCTAGAAAAGGTCTCTTACTTTGGCGCAGTAAAATTGTTACTTTTCTAAAGATGTTAAAATCATACAATTCGTGCAGTCGGATAAACGGGTGCGGCAGATTTTAGAATAGAATATCAACAATGAGATGAATATCAGATATTATACTACTTTATCAAATAATAAAAACAAGAACATAAATTTTCGTATACTTTTGAAGGATAAATGTGGAGAAATGAGTTTATGTTGGATATCATCTACCGGAAGTGTGTGATTTTATTTATATCATTATTTTGTCCATATTATTGTAGCACCCTATTATCCTCTATTATTTATATTATTATTCTCTATTCGGTACAACACGATCCAGACCTTCATTAATGTTCTAAACATACCTGATGACGGAAACAAGATGTCTAATTGCTTAGCTGTCAGTCTTTTTTTCTTTCCAAGTCTTCGTAGGTTCATTTCCTCTTTCTTGAGGGTGGCCACAAGACTGGTAGGTAGAAATAAGCCATCGAATGTATTTCTGACAGCCTCAGTTCCAACACCTACTACAAGTTTATAGATATGGATGAAATTTTCTTCTTCCTCGTCATTGATGGAGCTGATTTGTTAACAAAAGAGAAAAGAATGGATGTATAACGCTACAGCAGACAAAATTATTGAATGAGAAGTACTAAATACAACCTTTATTAATTGATTGATTGGTGTTTAGCGGCACTTTCAGCTCTATTGGCTATTTCGTGGCGGTCAGTTTTTATTGGTGGGGGAAGTCGGAGTGCTTGGAGAGAACCACCGATTCGAACTTCGGCAGGAAAACTGACATCAATCCTAGTCAATTACTAATGTTATTTTAATTGTAATCATGGAAATTGGACTGTGGCAAATATTTTATTTTATATAACAATTTTCGACCTCCATTTTCATGTACATAGCGCCACAGTTCCGGGTTATTTCACACTCCGGCACCGGAGTCTTTCCCGTATTCGGAAGAAGAAAGAAGAAGACAATAAGATTTGAGTCGAGATCACCTGCCACGAGCGGGGTTCAAACGCACAACCTTTGGTCATCATCATTAATGAAAATTACATTTTTCAAAAGAAGTGATATAAAGAAAGGAATAATGAACATGCCGTGTTGTGTTTTGTAAGGCCATATAAGCGAGGCTCCTTATATAAACATGTTACTTTGAGATGAGGAACAGCAATAACAGCGCTGTTCCTTTGCTTTTAATGTGTTTTTTTTTGTATGCATGTACTGATTTTGTGTCATGGATTGATACTCCATATCCTTTGTGTTTTTTCTATTAAAGAGTCTATTCGTTATATCAATAGAGAAATCCAGTCATCAAAAAGTGTCTTCCCATGTTAAAGGAGATTTTTTAATACACGTTGTGGGAAGTAATCAAATGCTCCTAAAATTTTTAACAACATTTATGCTAGTTGCATAAACTTTTTACAAGTTTCATACAAAACGTTGGCTTGCCAGGCCCCCTCCTTTTCAAAACTCTGCACCCCTCACCAGATTTCTTATAATAATTCTAGTTAAAAACATTCACAAAAGAAAGAAGTGAATCAATCAATTTTAAATAATCTAAATACCTGGATACGCTTGTAGACATATTCTACAAATGTATTATGTTAGAACTGCTACATTTATATACATGTATATATCACACATTTACCAAACTGCAAAAGAAATAATCAATCTTTAATTTACCATGTTTACCACCATATACATGATAAATGAATAAGGAATGTTCTGATTAGTCAATGGTTTTTCTAGTAATACTCTAACGTCCAGTGACAAATACTTAATGCAAATTAATAATTCATTAAATGCATTACCCTTCAAAAAAGAGGAAGGCCGGGAACCAGTTTCTCAATTAAAAAATACATGGGTTTTTGGGTTCCTAGGAACAAGCAAAGCAAAAAGTAGGGCCTAGATTCCCTTAAAATACTCGTTTTTGTGGGTCAGTTCAACTCATTTCTTTATTTGTACTTATATCATGGTCATGGTGGTTGTTCTAGGAACATGCAAGGATTTAACACCCTTCTGCTCCTCTTCCAATAACTATCTCACTTTTACCTAGAGACCTGTCCCCGTGTATTTGATCGAGGAAGTGGTCCCCGTTCTGTCCTTTTTGTAGGAAAGGGACATTTAACCTGTTACTCTAACAACAGAATGTTCGTTAAATATTCGTCACTTGACTCTAAACAAACTATCAATCAATGAATTGGTCAAAATGAAATATGCGTCTCTTTACAATAAACAAACTGTCAATAAACCAATCAACAAATCATTCAATCAACCAATCAATCAACCAATCAATCAATACACATGCCGACCAACCAACTCATCGAACTTAACCCTTGATATACAAACAGTTTATCAACCAATCAATCAACAAAAAAAGCATGTTTTACTTAGAAAATTTGGAATAGCTTTCATTAAAACATTTGTACCAATTTTTTGCTAAAACAACTATTTGCCCAAACAATTATTCTTTATTTATTTGTAGCAGTGTTATAAAAGCTATCAATTATCCGAGTAATATTTTAATCAAAATTTAAGTTAATATTTATCTTAAATGTCTAATACAAAAACTATGAATGCGGGAGAATTTAAACTATCAGAATTCCTACAAAATTAAAGTCATAACTTTAGATTACATCATACATGTAGTAACTAAGAGCAAAATTTAACAAGAATGTGTCCATAGTACACGGATGCCCCACTCGCACTATCATTTTCTATGTTCAGTGGACCGTGAAATTGGGGCCAAAACTCTAATTTGGCATTAAAATTAGAAAGATCAAATCATAGTGAACATGTGTACTGAGTTTCAAGTTGATTGGACTTCAACTTCATCAAAAACTACCTTGACCACAAACTTAAACCTGAAGCGGGACAGATGGACGAACGAACGGACGGACGGACGAACAAACGGACGAGCGAACGGACGGACGCACAGACCGAAAAACTTAATGACCATAAATGGGTCATAAAAATAACTCTGTACAGTTTTTATGTCAATTGTGAAAGTTTCATCAGATCACGTAATGAAATACATAGGTATATATTGTATATTGATTGAGTAATAATGTAACGTCCATTGACAGATAGTTAAAATAAATAAATCAATAAGGTTTTGAATGATAGATGCACCACTCTTAAAAAAATAGGAAGGCCACGAACCAGTCTCTCGATTAAAGAATACACGGGTTTTGAGTTCCTATGAACAAGCGAAGTAAAAAGTATGGCCTAGGTGCGCTTGAATTACACGTTTTCGGGTAAGTTCAACTTATTCATTTGTATTTAGATCGTGGTTGTTCTAGGAACATACAAGGATTTAACACTCTTCTGTTACTCTTTCAAAAAATATCCTTGTATTTTCATTTACGCCCTCAGAATTCGAAAGACATTTTTTTTTTACATTTGAATCTGAAAATTACCTCATATTTTTATGTTCACTTTTACCCTTTTGTGGGAAAAATTTGGTTGATTATATAGGAAATCACTGAAGCATGACTGGAGCGGGCCCCCTCTTAGGGCAGTCAGTGCCCCCCCCCCACCCCCCCCCCCCCTTATGAAAATTTCTGGATCCGCCACTGCCTAGAGACCTGTCCCCGTGTATTTAATCGAGGAAGTGGTCCCGTTCTGTCCTTTTGTGGAATGGGGTGGTGTGGACATTTAACTTGTTACACTGATAACAGAATACATAATTTTTTATTAAAGGGGCATTAGCTGTCAAATTCATGGTCACCGATTTGACTCAAATTCTCATAAATTTTTTATAACATACTTAAACGTATATCCAAATTATAAAAAGTCTAAAATAAACAATTTATGATGCATCATGTGCATGGGCTCAATAATGTGCATCAGAATTTCGTGTGTATTTTAGTCTAGACGCCATCTAAATAACCATCGAGGTGACCTCCGAAGACTGCCGATGGTCATATAACCCGATATAAAATTAAATATAGATTTAATAAATAGATAGCGAACCCGTGCAATTGGATTTTTCTAGGTCTGTTTGATTTCATATATTATAGGTTTAAAATATATGTTAAGCATCGTTTTTACCGGTATAATAATGAGTTTTTGTGGATCGAATCAGTCAATCAAATGGTTTACCCATGTTTCACTTTCAATGTTGACATTCTTTTCCTTTTAATAACTGAACACGCCTAATTCATGCGTAAACCATCTCTAGCTAAGGGGTTAAATTGAATGTTACATGAATACGGATCCAATGACGTCGAATTATTTAATTACAAGTGAATAATTTATCAGCGATGTTTCTTTTGACCAAATTGAACCAAACTTGCTGCTAAAAACCAATTATAATTTCACTACTGACTTAATTCTTTTTTATTAATGATTGAACAAAAAAAATCATATTTTTTTTTTTTTTATATCTCGTAGCTATGCCCCTTTAATATCTTAGAGAAACGAAGGCTTCAGAGCAAATGCAGTGTGATTTCCATTATAATTAATATTTCCAAGGGCATACATGACTCATAAAAAAAAAATTTGATCAGCACTTATTTTCGAAAGTGTCAAAGATATTGCTGATGATATACATTTAATAAAATTCTGGCAATAATTGTACACATGAGATCGCTGACAATACATTTATCCATATAATCATTATTTCCAAGGGGCATAACTCTTTTAAAAATAATCAATCGGCACTGATTTTTGAACTCGTCAAAGACATTGCTGATATAACCTTATGATATAGGTTTCATAAATATCTGGCCAGAATTGAACACATGAAAGCGCTAAAGATGCAATTTTCCATATAACTAATGTTTCCAAGGGGGCATAACTCTTTTAAAAAAAATCATCAGACCGGAACAAAATTCGAACTTGGATCTGTAACTTGTCATGATGAAACTATATACCAAATATCAAATCATTATCTTCAAGCACGAAGACAAAAAGTGGAGAACTGATATGCCGGACTGACGGATGGACAAACAGACAGACGGACAGACAGACAGACAGATAGATGGACAGAGTGCAAACCTAAAGTCCCCTTCGACTTCGTCGGTAGGGGACTAATAATTGATCTGCATTGATTTTCGAACTCGTTCAAGACAATGCTAATATAAACCTACAATATAAGTTTCATAAAAATCTGGCAAGAATTGAACAAATGCTAGTGCTAACGATGCAATTTTCCATATAATTAATGTTTGCAAGAGGCATAACTCTTTTAAGATTAATTAATGGACACTGATTTTCGATCTTGTCCAAGACATTGCTGATATAAATCTATGAACAAAGTTTCATAAAAATCTGGGAAGAATTGTACACGTGAGAGGTTTAATACCAGCATTGTTTTCCCCTATTAGTCTTTGTTAGATTTACACTTTTCAAAAAATTGTGCTGAAGTTTTTTAGTTTCATCCTGTCCAGTACTACAGAAAAAAATTCACATAACATTTCATTGCATATATATCATTGTATATATCATGTATAAAGGTTATAACATTGCATTTTTCATATCAGACCCCTTATCATCCCTAGGTCATGATATCAGCCCGAGAGCCGACAGGCTCGAGGGATGATTTTGACCATGTGCTAATAAGTGGTCTGATATGAAAAATGACATGTTATGTTCTTTTTATCATATACTGATCAGAGGACATACAGACAAGAACTATTTTTAAAACTTTGAAAAATGCATTTATTGTATTGTTTTTTTTTGCATTTTTTTTTTTAATATATTCTCCTGATTCCTAATAACGCAGTTTATATTGGACGATGTCCGTAGTCTTTCGGAACACCGGATGTTATTCGGAATACATCTGTTTCTTTCTATGGCCACCTTTCATATACATTATTTGACCTGTTGAATCATTAGCATCTTAAAGTTGCTATAGAGATATGTTACATATGATGCGAAATTTATTATGATGCAAACTACTTTAATAAGCATTTGAATATTTCCTTGCACGCAATTACAAGCTGCTAATATTTACCTTACATATACACGTAGTTATTCTAATTAGAGTCAAACGTTGAAACCAGCTGTGTTTAGATATGAGATAAGATTTCACGTAAACAATGCGATTTATATTCGAAACGAGATTTGTTAAAACTAAAATCTATAAAAGAAGTATTACTAGCATTTCACTTAAGATTCCGAGTCGGGAAAATGTACATAATGTACGAAGCAGGCTATTTCATAATTTTCATACCTCAACGTCCTTGTGGGACTAACTAAAGGACAATACTGAAATTAAAATGAAGTCTTTCTTGCACTTTATTGAAATTTTACGTCTAGGATAGACCAAGGACGTATATAATCTAAATTGATATACGTCCTTGAAAAGTTTTTATTTTCTTTAAAATTGCAATTTTCTTTGTTTAAATATTGCAACGGTATTTCCTTATCAAATGTCTATTAATTAATAGACACCGAGTGATGACAGATGCAGGCAGAGATAAGAAATTTTTTTTTCTATTTATAGTAATCTTGGTCAGGGAACAGATTATCTAACTATATGTTCGGCCTGTAGTAATTAATGCTCTTCAAAATGTTCGTCAAAATAAAAATAAATAATTATTATTTCATAAAGACGATCAGATGATGAATTTTCGGTTTTAATATATTAAGTACGAAAATGTAAAATAGTGTAAGAAGATTTTGAGCCATCTCA